GCCCCATTCCAGTCTGTTTAAAGTATGTGCAGACTGAGTATGTTTTACCACTGAGATTTATCTATGGTCTCTGGCTTTAACTTCTAAAGGTTCCTCAAACTTCCAGTACCATCCAGCCTAATTTGTGGGCCTTTGAAACACATTAAAAATCTAGACTGTGGCTGCACAGGTGGTCCAGTGGTTAATAACACTGACCTGGGTTCAATTCCCAGCACTCACATGGTGTCTCACAAGCATCCATAAGTGCAACTCCAGGGGATCTGACACCTCTTTAGACACAGACATACATGCAGAGAAAACACACATGCACTAAAGTAAGTAAATAAATAACCCAAACCACACCACCTGCCTATTGTCCCCAACACTCTGAAGGCTGAGAAGGAGGATCACTTGAACCCAGGAATTTGAGACCAGCCAGGCTAGGCTACATTAGTAAGACTCGATCTCAACAGGTATGGAAGGGAAGCTTTAAGGAATTTTGATCTAAAATGTTGATATTCACACACACACACACACACACACACACACACACACACACCCACACACACACACACACCGCATTCCAAGGATCAAACTGAACTCAGGGTTTACTAAAATACAGTAAGTGCTTAATCACTGGGATACATCCCAGCTGTACTTTTCCATTCAATAGATTTTTCTTTTTTCTTTTAGAGATGGTCTTGGTCTGGAACTTTCTATATAAACTGGCCTTGACTCAGAGATCTGCAGTCTCAACTCCACAGTGCTGGAATTACAGACAAGTACCACTACACTAGGCATTCTGGGGGAGGGGGATCCTAGGATGTGAACCCAGGGTGTCTTGCACACTAAGCAAGCATTCTGTGTCCCCAATCCTCAGTAACATTTTGAATATTTTAGAAAAATACTTTTAGCCTGGCGGTGGTGGCACACGCCTTTAATCCCAGCACCCAGGAGGCAGAGGCAGGCAGATCTCTGTGAGTTCGAGGCCAGCCTGGTCTACAGAGCAAGTTCCAGGACAGCCTCTAAAGCAATACAGAGAAACCCTGTCTCGAAAAAAAAGAAAGAAAGGAAAAAAAAAAAAAAAGAAAGAACAGTTTGGTCTACAAGAGCTAATTACAGGGCAGCCTCCAAAGCCACAGAGAAACCCTGTCTCAAAATACCAAAACAAAGCCTTTTGAAAGATATATTAAGTAACTTCAATTTGTATTTATTTTCATGTTTATTTACTTTTACAAAGTAAAAGTTCATGATTTATTGTCTTCGTAACACAATCAGCTCTGATTCGCACATGTCTTACAGGGCAGCGTTCTCAAGCTCTTAGATCCTCAGCTGGGCTCTTAGATCCACAGCTGGGCTCCACAGGCTCCACAGGCTCCACAGGCTCCACAGGCTGCACAAGCCTCATTGTACTTACAGCCTTTTGGGGAAAATGGGGCCTAGTCCACCTAGCCTAGGACTGTCTCCTGTCAGAATGCCACTTTCCCTGGACATATATCCTTATCCTTATAGTGTGTCATTTTGGGGACTGGTGCTTGCCACATTTCAAAGATTTTTTTAAAAAATTATGTACATAAGCTGGTACACACGTTTAATCCCAGCACTTGGGAGGCAGAGGCAGGCAAATCTCCATGAGATCAAAGCCAGCCTGGTCTACAGAAGTAGTTCAAGGACAGCCAAGGGTACGAAAAGAAACCCTATCTTGAAAAAAAAAAACAAAAACAATGTGTGTGCGTGCGTGCGTGCATGCGTGCGTGTGTGTGTGTGTGTGTGTGTTTGCATGCAGGGCCCTCAGAGACTAGCTGGATCCCTTGAAGCTGGAGTTACAGTTGTGAGTTGCCCTACATGAATGACGGGGGCCAAACTCCAGTCCTCTGCAAGAGTAGTATGTGGTTTTCACTGCTAAGTCATACCTGGGGTCCCCCTTTGTTTATTTTTAGAAGGAAGTCTGGTGTAACCAGGGCTGCCTGAACTCTCTAGTTACTAGAGGGTGATCTTGAACCTCTGACCTCTTGCTTCTGCTTCCCCAATTCTGGGACCACACATTATAGCTACACACCACAACACCCTATGGGGAGCAGATAAAGTCCCAAGTGAATGTGTGTGGTTGACTTGAGCATGGTCACATCGAGAACCCCAACACCTCACACCCATGGGAATGGCAAAGTGTTGGGGTCTTGAGTATCGATGTTCACAGATGGCTGACCTTTCGCTAAAACCGGTGTGTGCTGAGACTATCAACTGCAGCTTTCGTGACCTGGATGTCGACATTTCTGAATATCATCCTCATGGCTGCGGTCTGCTCGCCTACAGCCCAGCCAGCCTGCACCCTCCTCTCTGAGTTTCCTGGCTTCTGTGGTGCGTCTCCACCAGGGCACACATTCCCGGCTTTTCTGTGTGAGTGTCTGTCATTTCTTCATTCACTACTTCCCCAGTTAGATCGCTCTCTGACTTACAGATTGGGACAGCATCTAGTTTATGCAGCGCTGGGGCTCAAATCAGGGTCTTCTTGTACATGCACTCTACCCACCGAGTCACACTGTAAGACCTGTTTTGCTTTGGGACACAGTGTCTCACTTTGCAGTTCAGGCTGGCCATACTCTGTCACCTAAGCTGGTCCCAAACTCACCGAGGTCCAACTGTCTCACCTCCCAAGAAATGGAATTACAGGCACGAGTCATGCCCAGATTGATGTTTTATTTGTTATTTATTTTTGCAGCACCCCAGCACCACACATATGCTATGCAGATACCCTACTACTGAGCAAACCTCCAGGCTTTAATGTATACTTGAAATTAGAACCTACTGGCCAGGTGTAGTGGCACAGGCCTATAATCACAGGACTCAGAATCTGGAGGTGGGGGGGGGGATCAGATGTTCAAGGGCACCCTTGGTTACTCAGCAAGTTCAAGGGCAGCCTAGGCTGTATGAGATAATATTAGAATACACATAAAAATAAACAAATCAATCTTTTCAAAAAATGATAGATATGAGGACTTTTGCAATTTACTATTTTTTCCTTTGTGAAGAATTACTAGTTGTTGTGATCAAATGTTTTGGCAATACCTACAGAATTAATAAAGAAGTCAGGCGGTGGTGGTGCACACTTTTAATCCCAGCACTAGGGAGGCAGAGACAGGCTGATCTCTGAGTCTGAGGCTAGCCTGCTCTACAGAGTGAGTTCCAGGGCTACACAGAGAAACCCTGTCTCAAAGCAACAACAAGAAAACAAAAGTGTATTCAAACATATTTTGTGTATGGGTGGTTTGCCTGTACATATGTATCTGTGAGTCACTTGAATGCTTGGTGCCCTCAAAAGTCAGAAGACTGGTCTCCTGGAACTGGGGCTACAGAGGGTTGTGAGCCACCACGGGGATGATGGGGATCAAACACGTGTCCTCTGGAATAGCAACCAGTGCTCTTAATCGCTAAGCCATCTCTCCAGGCCCTCTATCATTAAAAAAAAAAAAAAAAAGATTTCACCCTAGTGAGAAGTTCAGTGGATAAAGGTGCTTGCTAGAAAGCCTGACTACAGCCGAGCGGTGGCGGCGCACTTTAATCCCAGCACTCGGGAGGCAGAGGCGAGGCCGGCCTGGTCCGACAGCCTCCAAAACAATACAGAGAAACCCTGTCTCGTAAAACCAAAAAAAAAAAAAAAAGAAAGAAAGAAAGAAAGAAAGCCTGACTGCCTGACTACAGCTGGGTGGTGGTGGCACATGCCTTTAATCCCAGTACTTGGGAGGCAGAGGCAGGCAGATCTCTGTGAGTTCTAGACCAACCTGCTCTACAAAAGCTAGTTCCAGGACAGGCTCCAAAGCCACAGAGAAACCCTGTCTCAAAAAAAAAAAAAAAAAAAAAAAAGGCCTGACTACATCAGTTTGATCCCTGGGACCTACACGATGGAGAGAACAGACTCCTGAAAGTTATTCCCCCAGCCCCTACCCCCCCACCCCGTCCCCACACAAAAATATATTTGTGAACTGGCTCAGACGGTAAAGGCCCCGCTCCTGACTTAAACTCCTGAGTTCAATCCCTCATCACGGAAGGCAACAAGTAAGTGCAACTGTGTATCCCTCACAATGTCAAGACTGTAAAGGTATAATTACAGCACTTGAAACAATTTGTCATTGCTGTTTCCTCGAAAACATAAGCCGCTGTGTAATCAAAGGAGACAGGGTTTCATGTAACCCTGACTGACCTCAAACTTGCTATGTAGCCTAAACGGGCTGAGCAACAAGATCTTCCTGCCTTCACTTCCCAGTGATGGGCTCACGCTGAACGTCAAGTGTTGTGTATATATTTATATTTATAGCCTCAAACTTTCTAGTCTTGTACCCAAGGAAAACCTTGAACACCCGCTCTTCCTACCTCCCGAATGGTAGCATTACAGGGGGACACCTCCGTACTAGGCGGAGACTTGAAAAGATGTTCTAATTAGTAGGTTTTTTTGGAGACACCGCCTATTTAACTCACAAAAACGCCCCCCCTGGACTATTTGAGACATGGTCCCCTCGGCTATTCCAAAGACAGAACCTTGACTTCTTTTTTTTTTTTTTTTTTTTTTTTTTGAGACAGAGTTCTCTGTGGCTTTAGAAGCTGTCCTGGAACTCGCTCTGTAGACCAGGCTGGCCTCGAACTCACACAGAGATCCGCCTGCCTCTGCCTCCCGAGTGCTGGGATTAACGGCGTGTGCCACCAACGCCCGGCATAGAACCTTGACTTTCGAACCAAGTTCTCCTGGAACTGGCTACCTTCAGAGCTCAGCAGGCCTGGGATGGGCCTCCCCGTCCTCAACCCACATCCCCACACCCCTTCCTCGACAGCGCGGTCATCCAAGGCTTCGCGTCCAGCAGATGTCGCTGTGACGGCGCCACCGGGCTCGAAAGCCCCTCGGGGTCCACTCTTGCCGCGTGGGCTTGGGCGGAAGGGGTGGGGCAGGGACAGAGAAGGCTCCGGGCCTGTGGTCGGCGCGGGCCGGGGAGGAACCAGCGGACTGCGCAGGTGAGTGCGCCCCTACTGGCCCGCCGGCCCGGCCCCTCTCGGGGTGACTCGCGGGCCCCCGGCCTCTGCCCTGCAGCGCTGCGGCCGAATCTGCGAGCACGCCCGCTTCCGCAGAGTCGGGCCTGTCTCGGAACGCCTCCGGAACCCCGGGACCGTGGGCATCGAGCCGGCCCAGGCTGTGCGCCCCGGGGCTTGGCCGCAGCTGGCTGCAGACACTGAGCCGGGGCCGGCGGCGTCGGTGTCCAGTTTCCTTTGACCTTGGGGAACCTGGGGAGGTGCGGGATAGGAGGGCTCCGGGGGAACCCGTCCTTGGAAGTCAGCCTCCGGTCTCCGCAGAAGGGAGGGTTTTGGGAGCTGCAGTAGATCTCGCCCACTGGAGGCCAGGCTCCCGGTCTCACCGAACGGTGACAAGCTGGGGAACGTGGATCCATTCTCGTTACCGCGCAGTCAAGGGCAGCGTTGCCTTTGTATCCTTAATACTACTCTTCCGGCAGATGTAGCCTTCGACAGCACCTTCTATTGCTTCGTAAGTATCTAACCCGAAACGGAACAGTGCTTTCTCCTCTACTCGTCTCAAGTGCAAACCGCCGCCAAGGAGATCTTGTAACACGGACTCCTGCCGGGCCATTCTACTAATTAATACTCATTCTGTATCTCTCGTGCTGCCCGGGTCACTTCCAAACTTAGGTATCCAAGACTTTTAGAGAACTGGTGTCAGTCCAGATACACTTTATTCTTTTATGGGCTCACTCTAATGCAGCATTACTCTGGTCGTACTGTTATCCTTAAGGTTTGGTTTTGTTGAAGACGGTTCCTTGTAGCCCAGGCTGGCAGGCTCGTCCTCACTTTGTAGTGCAGATGTCCTTGAACCCCCAACCTCCTCCCTCTGTCCCGGATGCTTGAAGTACGGCTTTTGCCACCGTTCCCAGTGTCCACAGGTTTTTAATTTTAATTACCAGACATACTGTGCTCTTGAGATAAAGTGAAGGAGAATAAAATAGGGATAAAGAGGAATTTTACCCTTGTGTGTGCAAGCACACGCAGACAAATAACATCCAGTAAATTATGTGGTCGACTGATAAGCGCTCAGGGGTGGGGTAAGTGTGGTAAGAGGGAATGGTTGGCAAGATGTGAATAGAGTTGGAATGGTTAGGCCACTCAGGAAATAGTTGAGTTTAGGCTTGCAGATACCTAGGCAAGAGTGTTCTAGGCCCATGAGGAACAAGGGTCCCTAGTTTGGCTAGAATGTGTCCCCAAAAGTTTCATGAGTTGGGATTTGGTGCAGTACCATTAAAATAGCAGGGCCATGAAGGTTCTTCTGGTGAATGGACAAGTCTGTTCATTGATTAGTGGGTTATTGCGGCAGTACATGGCTTTGTTATGAAGAAGCTTACACCTGCCAGGTGAGGAAGCAAAAAGGCTTTCACCAGATGTCCACATCTAAAGTGTGCAGAAGGGAAAGGTGGTTTTGGGGGGTTAGAGGGGAGTAGATTCAGTTGACCTTGAATTTCCCAGACTCTAGAGCCATGAGGTACATAAACCTCTATTAGAAATTGCCCTGGCTCTGTAATTCTGTTGTAGCCGTGGGAATGAAGCTGAGAATAGTCCCATGTGTGTAGCATGAAGAAGACAGTGTAAGTGTGGCAGCAACTGAAGCTGAGTTAGGCAGGAGCTCTTTTTTGTGGGTGATTTTGGTTTTTTCAAGGCTGGCCTTGAACTCACAGAGATCAGCCTGCTTCTACCTCTCCAGTTCTGGGATTAAAGGCGTATACAACTATGACCTTCACAAGACAGGAGATATTTATCATTGTTCTGTTTCCTTTTGGTTTTGTGTCATGGGGTGTGATACACATGTCTCATTTAGGCACTTAGTCTCAACACTTTGAACGGTTTTCATCTTGACTGATGCCCACTGCACTAAGCTTTTATGACTTATTTCTGGGCATAAATGTAAGTATTTGGAAGGCAGTCTGACACCATATCAGCGTAACAACAACAGTAGGTTTCTCCTAGGACCTTCCCAGGCATGGTTTTTTTTTTTTTTTTACCAAGTTTACAGTAACACTTTGTTGTTTGTTTGTTTTTTGGTTTTTGGAGACGAGTAGCTTTGGAGCCTGTCCTGGAACTCATTTTATAGACCAGGCTATCCTTGAACTCACAGAGATCCACTTGCCTCTGCCTCCTGAGTGCTGGGATTAAAGGCGTGCACCATCACCACCCAGCCAGGAACACCTTTCTTAATTCTCTTAATTCTGAGATAGGCTGTCATTGAGTTACCCAGGCTGGCTATGAACATACTCTGTGAACTAGGCAAGTGTTAGACTTCGCATCTTCCTGCCCCACCAGGCCCAGAAGAGTCTTTCCTTTGGAGTGTTTTTGAGGAGTTTGGTTTGGTAGACAGTCTTGCTTTGTGGTTCATGCCTGAACTTCACTGTGCCAAGCCTGAAGACCTGTATTCACCTCCTGAAACCCATGCAGAAATGCCAGATGCGTGCTGTGTGTCTGTAATCCCAGAACTGTTGCCAAGCAAAAGTCAGACAAGAGAAGTAGCCTTGAATAGTAGCCAGGCAGAAGCAAGAGACCCTCCCTCAACAGTAACGTGGAAAGAGTCCTGACTCCTGGAAGACATCCTCTGACCTGTGCTCACTCCCTGACTTACACGTATCATGTACACACATTCAACAGTAATTGAAGTAAATAAGCAGAATGGTCCAACCATAGTCACCAGCCCTTGGGAGGTGGAAGCAGAATTGTTCACGGCCAGTCTGAGCTACTTGAGACCCTGTCTCAAAGCAAGGAGGGGACAATCACATACTTGCCATTCCAGTACCCATCCATAGGAGGGCTGTGTGAAGGACAACTGGGCTACACAACAAGACCTTCCCTTTTGAAAAAAAAAGAAAAAGAAAAACCACTAGCTTTTGTTTTAAGCCTCCAAAAGGGTGATGTTACATTAACTGAGTAAAGAAGGCTCCAGGTGGAGAGGTCTGAGGTCAGAGTTTGGTTCTGGGCCACCTGTGAGGCGCCTTTAGTCACCCATGTGGTCTTCCAGACATTCAGTTAGACATTGTATCTGTTGATTAACAAAGAAGATGCCTAAGCCTTGCACATAACCATACCTGTGCTTGATTTATTACAGCACGACTTTATGAAGGAAAGTAGGGGAAGAAGGGGAGAGGTGCGGGGCATGAAGGAAACCAGGCATGGTGCTGTCTACAAGTCTGCAGTGGCATCATGCAGGAGGCGTGTGATTCCTCCAACAACTTCTGGTAGACTTCCAGGAGAAAAGTTAAGGGTTCAGCATAAACCAGTTACAGTTTCAGGACAGCAAGTCACTCCTCCAAGTGTAGGAGATTCAGGGAACTCTGCTGAAGTTCAAGTCCAAAGGTACTGGTCAGCACCAAGCTTGACAGCTGGCCTTCCTATGAAGAGCAGTCATAGGTCTTTTCTTACCAACTTTGCTCAGGTGTCCAAGTCTAGCTTAAAGCCACAGAAGCCACATATAGTAATCCATGCCTGTAATTCCAGTACTCTAGACACTGACTCGGGGATCAAAAGTTAAAGGGCAGTCTTTGCTACACGGTGAGTTTGAAGCAGCCTAGAGTGCATGAACCTTATGTTAGAGGTTTTCGGGCATGGTAAATGCCGTATTGGCGCTACCAGCGTCTGGAAAGGGACAAATGGTAGCGGATGGCAGGGGAGTTGGGGCAGTTAGGGATCATATCAAAGGAAAAGAAACTTTTTAAGTCCTCAAATCCTTTTTTAGAGGTGTGTGTGTGAGTGAAGAGAGAGAGAGAGAGAGAGAGAGAGAGAGAGAGAGAGAGAGAGAGAGAGAGAGAGAGAGAGAGAGAGAGAGAGAGAGAGAGAGAGAGAGATTGGAAGCAGTGCGTGTCAGGTCATCAGATTCAGATGTCTTCCTCTCCACCTCATTACCTTGAACCTGGGTCTCTGAACCGGAAGCTCCCCTCATGACTAGGCTGGCTGGTTAGCTGCTTTCCAAACATCTTGACTTCCCTAAGCGTGGGCACTGCAGGCGCATACAGTCGTGCAGTCCTTAACATGGGTGGGGGATTTGAACTCAGGCTTATGACTGTGCCATTAGCACTGAGTCATCCCACAGCCCCTAGAATCCTTTTATGTTTGTTTACTTTTTGAGATAGGTTCTCCTGTGTAGACCTAGCTGGCCTGGAACTTGCTGTGGAGACCAGCCTGGTCCCAAACTCACAGCAGTCCTCCTGGCTTTATCTCCTAAGTGCTGGGATTACAGGCAGGTGTCTTCCGCCCCAGTTGGGTTTTTGTTGTTGTTTTGGTTTGAACTCCTGCTCCTGTTTCTGGGGTGCTGAATTACTTATGTGTTCCACCTCAGCATCCTTTTTCTGTAAATGGAATGTAAGAACCCAACATTGGCTGCTTTGATTTAAGAGGTACTCCAGAACCTGGCCAGTCACCTTTTCAGATACCCCACTCCTTATTCAGGGCTCTGCCGATCAGCCCTGGATTCTGAGGTTCCTCCCTTGGGGCCTGTTCACTGCTAACATCAACACATGGGCACCATCTCTAGCAAAAACTAGGAAAATGCCTTCTCTCAACTTTATGGTTTTTCTACGTTTTTACGTAGACTTCCATCGTTTGGGATGTTTGCCTGCTGGGAAGTGAAGGGGATCACAGAGAGAGTGAGTAGCTAATAAAGGTAACATCTGGCTTAATGCTCTGAAATGGCTGATATGTTTACATGTGGGTATGATTTAAGCTAATATCTTCAGCTGGAGGCTTTCCTAGTATAGGTAAATATGCTGCCTGTGGGGCTGGAGAAATGGCTCAGCAGATAACACTGGCTGCTCTCCTAGAGGATCTGGGTTCAATTCCCAGCACCCACATGGTGGTGGCTCATAATCATTTGTAATTCCAGCAACCACCTCTTTCTTTTCTTTTTTTCCCTGAGACAGGGTTTCCCTGTGGCTTTGGAGGCTGTCCTGGAACTGGCTTTGTAGACCAGGCTGGTCTGGAGCTCAGAGATCCTCCTGCCTCTGCCTCCTGAGTGCTGGGATTAAAGGCGTGCGCCACCACCGCCCAGCTCCAGCAACAACCTCTTAATGACCTCATGGGGCACAGACACACTTGCAGACAACACCCATGCAAATAAAAACGCTGCCAGTGGTGGATGGGTACACACAGAAATGCGTGCAGACCGCACTGAGGAAACAGGGACATGCTGCTAAGCAAGAGCTTTGTAACTTACTCCTTTACTTAGTATTTGTGCTCATGAGCGTGTGGAGGCCAGGGGACAGCCAGTCTGCGGGAGTCAGTGCTCTCCTCCGACCGTGCAGCTCTGGGGTTGAACGCAGGCTGTGTTGGTGGCAAGTACACTTAACTGCTGAGCCGTCTATCTCACTCGTCCTAAGCTAGGGTTTATGGTGAAGAATGTGGACACCCAGGGACTGACACCAAGACTGCCTTCTTTCTGGCCCAGGTACTCTTGGAGTGGCAGTGCGCACCCCCCTCCCCCATGCCCTTTAAGCTTTCTGCTCTCATTGAAGTGACCATGGACTACAGAATCTAGCTCTCCTGAAATACGCTGTTTTCTTTTCCTTTATTCTGCAATGCTAGGATCAAATAGAGCCTTGTGCATGCTAGGCAAACATTCTACTCAGGACTACATCCCCAGTGTAGAAATATGCTGTTGTCACTGGGCAGTGGTGGTGGCGCACACCTTTAATCCCAGCACTCGGGAGGCAGAGGCAGGCGGATCTCTGTGAGTTCGAGACCAGCCTGGTCTACAAGAGCTAGTTCCAGGACAGTCTCCAAAGCCACAGAGAAACCCTGCCTTCAAAAAAAAAAAATACTTGTTGAACTTGCAAAGTCTGGGTTCGATTTCCGCACCCACATGACAGCTGGGTTCCAATTCCAGGTATCTGACACCCTTTTGACCTCCATAGACACCAAGCATGCAGGCAGAACACTCACACACATGAAATAAATAAATTTAAGGGGAAAATTTCAGAAAACAAAACCTGACTGGTTCTGCTTAGCAGTTTCTTCAACAGCGCATCAAAAAAAGCAAGCAAAAGCCCACACGCCCTGAAATTCAGCCTGTTTCTTGTCATTTACTCCTAAAGTATAACCCTGAAATAAAGGAAGGAAGCTGGTCTCAGACTCAATGTGAGGCTTCTAAGAGTTCATCAAATTTCATATATGTATACACCTTAACATGTGAAGTCCTTTTTCTTATTATCAAAGCATGATCTTTAAAACCATCTTGGCCTGATGTGGTTGCACACACCTTTGATCACAGCACTCAAGAGGCAGAGGCAGACAGATCTCAGAGTTTGAGGCTATCCTGGTCTACATAATGAGTCCCAGGACAGCCAAGGTTGAGACAGAGCTCATTTTACCATTTTGATGTGCTGTTCTGGGAGGTTTGCCACCACAGTATGGTTTTTGTTATATTTATGGTAACTGGACATCTCTGGCATGTCCAGAAATGGCCGCCTAGTTTATGGGCTCTGCCCCTCCCTCTCCTGCTCTGAGGAGCAGTAGGAAGGAGATGTGTAAGAGGAGACGCAGACCAGGTTGTTCTGCTCTTTCCTAGCTCTGATTTGCTAGGGTCTAGGCTGAAATAAGGTTGAGAGATTCAGTCTGGATCTTATGAACTCTTTTGTTTGTTTCTGTTTTGTTTTTCAAGACAGGGTTTCTCTGTGTAGCTTTGGAGCCTGTCTTGGAACTAGGTCTTGTAGACCAGACTGGTCTTGAACTCACAGAGATCCGACTGCCTCTGCCTCCCGAGTGCGGGGATTAAAGGCGTATGCTACCACATCCAGCCTCTTTCTTTTTTCTTTAGTCTTTAACAAATCATTAACAACTACTAGTAATATGTTTTCAGTTGTAATTAATACCAGAGCTATTGGACGAGGAAGAAGATTAGAATTAGTGTTTTCAGTTTTGTGTCTCGATGGATCCCTGAGACAGTCCTAAAAGCAAGCGTGGTGATTGTAGCTGGAAGACTCACCGTAGTGTGCTTGTCCTCAGCCTGAGTGGACTGACGGGCCTTGATGGGCCAGAGGCAACGTAGCACCAGTTGTCCAGGGCCTGTGTTGTCTCGTGTTGAGTGCTGGCCTGTGAATAATCCTCAGCTGTTTCCCATTGCAGGACGTGTGCAGCATGGCTGGAACTGGAGGCCGACTGCTCGCTGGTGCTCTGAGAAAACCAGACGCCTGGATCCGACTCTGGGGTGTGCTTCAAGGGACATCTTCACGCAAACTCTGTGCTTCCTGTGCTTCCTGGAATCGATACCTGTATTTTTCTAGTACCAAGTTAAATGCATCAAATTATAAGACACTTTTCCATAACATTTTCCCTTTGCGACTCCCAGGGCTTTTAGTATCTCCAAAATATATCTTTCCATTTTCCATACGACTCAAAAGCAATATTAGCTCCAAAAAATCCACTAAAAAGACTCTGCAAAAAGATGCAGATGAAGAGGACTCCGATGAGGAGATCCATCTCCCTGAGAGGGAAGAGCAGGAAGAGGAGCTAGAGGATGACCCAGGTGTGGTCAAGGACTACAAAGACCTGGAGAAAGTGGTACAGTCCTTCCGGTACGATGTTGTCCTGAAGACGGGCCTTGATATCGGGAGAAAGTGAGTATGTGGACCACCTGTCCGGCCTCTATGATGGGGAATAATAGCTAGAGATGTGAAAGGTGACCTGTACCAATTATGTCACTTCAGATGAGAGAACTGACCCAGAGGAAGTCACTTGACTGCCTTTAAATCCTGTGTGCCATGTTTCCTTGATCCCAATACTCGATTGGTGTGCTCTGAGTCATAGACTTAATGACATATTTCTTTTCTTCTCTACAGTGCTGGGGATCAAACCCAGAGCCATGTACATGGTAGGCAAGTGCCCTACTGCTGAACCATGCCTCTGCCCCCAGTAACAGCCTCTGAAAGAGAACGGGATCATTTTAGAGATACATAGCTACAAAACCCCATTGATTTCTCATGTACTACAGTATGAGAAACTACATCCAGAAGCAATGGGAGGAACAGGAGGTGCTGGCTAAGGATGCAGGTTTTGGGGCTAGCATATTAGCTCAGTGGATAAGCCTGATGACCTGAGTTCAATTCCCGGAACCCACAGGGTATAAGGAAAGCACTAACTCCCACTGGTTGTCCACAGATCTCTACACATGTGCCATGGTACACATGTGCCCACGGTCATTCACTCGTATATATTCACGATAATTTAAAAAGAAAATGGCAGTTTCTGCCCAGTGAAATGGCACAGTAGGTAAAGCTGCTTGCATATAGACTGAGGCCTGAGTCCTAGTCCCTGATCCCAGGAGGAACAGGAGAGCTGGTGCCCCAGAGTGTCCTGACCTCAACAGACTCACTGTGGCATTCTCTCTCTGTCTCTGTCTCTCTCTCTCTTGCTCGCACACAGCTTAGGCTAAGGGCTAAGTCAGACACTGAGTTGGAAGTGAGCCTACGCTACATGCTAAGGTGCCATCTCAAAAAATGAAAAGTGAAGGCTTATCTCCATGAGTTCTGTAGAGTGATTTCTAGGACAGCCAGGGCTATTCAAAAATCCGTGGCTTTAAAATAACCACAAAAACAAAAAATAGGCCAAACTACTAGTATTTCAGAGTACTAGTATGTGTCGTTGTATACATTACTGACATGCTGTGCACCTGTGTCCCCTGTAAAACAGGGCTAGTAGAAGCTACTTTAGAGAGCAGAGGCAATGGCTAGTGATTGCTTTCTTTTTGGTTCCTTTTTAAAAATTATTAAGGTGCCCGGGCTGTGGTGGTGCACGCCTTTAATCCCAGCACTCGGGAGGCAGAGGCAGGTGTATCTGTAATTTTGAGGCCATCCTGGGCTACAGAGTAAGTTCCAGGACAGCTAAGGCTACACAGAGAAACCCTGCCTTGAAAAACCAAAACACCAAAAATCGAATGTTTATGAAATGTGTGACAGGCAGCGGTGTGCGTGTACCGCATGTACTCAGAAGACTGCTCTATGGTTCCAGCGTGTGAGTTTCAACTCCCAGGCCCTTTCCCCTTTTAAAGCCACATTATCACTCTAGCTCATGCTGGCCTAGAACTACGGTTTAGTTCCTGGCCTCAAACTCACTGAAATCCTCCCTGGTGCTGGGACTGCGAGGATGAGCCACTAGGATTAAGATGTGTGTAAGGCACTGTAAGTGCCTAGCGTGTAGTAGACTCCGTGTGTTTTAGCTGTTGTAAGCCCTGAGTCCCATGCAGTGCACAGAAGTGTGAATTTTGAGATTTCTTTGGCATGGTCATTCTCTCTGCTAGATGTTATATTTCCGGTAGTGACTTCACTGTTCATTCTGTTAGGGATCATTGATGGTGTGAATACAAGGTAAGAATTGTGATGGGACAAATTCAAGATCTCTTGGGAGGCAGAGACAGGCGGTCTCTTGAGTTTGAGGCCAGAGAGTCAGCAACCTGTCTCAGGGGGGGAAAAATTCCTTCTGTAATCTTTATCTTTATGGAATAGTTAGTTATGTGCTTTACTTCAAGTTCATGGAACATAAAAGAGAGTGGCTGTTGCTTTATCGAGCTGAGCCCAATGTCCGTCACCCTGAGTCAGATCATCAGAAGGAAGGCTTTGTGTCTTTTCTGGTCTGGTCACCAGTGGTTCAGACTGAGGTGCATGGCCGTCACATGGAATTACTCAACCCCAGTGTACATGGTGGCTCCTTAATGGCATCTCTGTGTGTGTGGTGTCTGAGCTTTCTGTTCCAAGGCAGAGCAGGACCCCGAGGGTAGGAAAGACCCTCTCTTTCTGCCATGTAACTCACTGTCTACTTCCGTGCCGCCGCATCGGAAACCCCATGCTATAGCCGCCTGCCTCAGCAGCCAGCCCTGTCAGAATCAGAATTGGCAGCTCTCCCTGTTGTAGGTGACGCCCACTTCCATTTCAGATCTCTCTCGAACGCAGGGATTTTGTGGGAACCCACTATCTGGGTAGATACCGACGGCTGGCGTTTTCCTAAACCTCTGTGATTGGTGAATGTATTTACATTTCAAGTCTTTCTATTTTTTCTTTTTAATAGCAAAGTAGAAGATGCATTCTACAAAGGTGAACTCAGGCTGAACGGAGAAAAATTATGGAAGAAGAGCAGAACGGTGAGCCATCCAGCCTGTAACAAACCCCTGGCCCTGTCTGCTCCCGCTAGTCAGTCTGGCCCCAGCTCCCGCTTGAGCCCTGGTGCCTTCCCTGAGGTGCTGGACATGCTGGTGGGAATGTTCATGGACCTCTGTCCCTCTCTATCCTTCGTGACCTTATGAGGAAGAATTTGCAATAAGCTTCCCTCCAGACTTCTGAGAGACTAACATTACCCCATGGAATCATGGCAGGTAGCGATAGACACAGTGACGCACGCTTGGAAGGCAGAGTCAGGAAGATTGCCAGGGTTCAGCCAGTCAAGTCTGCTCGCCTACTTCCAGGCTAGTTCATCTCAACAAAGCAAACAATGTTAATAGATGTTACATATATTTTTAATCAACTATTACTAATACTTAGCTTAGATGCTTATGGGCTATGCTAAGGTTTTAAGTCTCCCTTACTCTCTGTGGGTGTGACTTGTTTGTGGGTAGGCATGCAGTTCCTATGGAGGTCAGAAGATTCCCTAGAACTGCAGTTGTAGGTGGCTGTGAGCCACTGTGAGAACCCTGGTACCCAAACCAGGGTCCCTTGCATTAGCAACAAATGCTCTTACTGCAGAACTAGCTTTCCAGCCCCTGTATCATTTCTTCATGCATCTTCTATTTTGAAAATTAACTTTTTTTAGATTTATGTGTGTATGTGTTTTGCCTGCATATACATATGTGCATGCTGTGTGTGCCTGGTGCCCAGAGGTCTCCCAGAACTGGAGGTTAGGGATGGCTGTGAGCCACTATGCAAGTACTAGGAACAAAACCCACAGTTCTGCAAGAGCAACAAATGCTCCTAGCTGCTGAGCCAGCTCTCCCCATGTATGTTCTTCATGCCTTTTGTTTCCTGGCGTTAAAAAAATGTATTTAGTTAGGCAGGATGGGGAATGTGGGGGCATGAGTGTCATAGTACAGATATGGAGGTTAGAGACAACTTGAAGGAGTGGATTCTTTGTTCCTCCGTTGATTTCAGGGATCAATCTCAGGTCATCACGCCTTGCTGCAAGTGCTGAACTATCCTTCCCTTCTCCTAAGATTTAAATAACGAGGCTTTGTTTGCTTGTTGGTTTTTCGAGACTGGGTTTCTCTGGAGGCTGTCCTGGAACTCACTCTGTAGACCAGGCTGTCCTGGAACTCACTCTGTAGACCAGGCTGGCCTGGAACTCACAGAGATCTGCCTGCTTCTGCCTCCTGAGTGCTGAGGTTAAAGGCGTGCGCCACCACCATGCTTTTGACCATGCTTTTTAACCATGAGATTATATGACTTAACAAAACTCAATAAAGAAGATATAAGAAATCTGTAATTGCCAGGACAGGTTCCAAAGCCACAGAGAAACCCTGTCTCAAAAAAAAGAAATCTGTAACTGGAAGCTGGAAGCTTGACAGCAGGGCTCTAGCTCAGCTGATAGTGCTTGCCCAGCGTGTGCAAAGAAGCCCTGGGTTCAAAGCCCCTCAGTGGCACATAAGCTTTAACCCCAGCTAGAGGTAGGGTCAGAAGTTCAAGGCCATAAGGTCATATACCCCCCTGCTGAGTGGCCATTGTCGAATATATGAACCCGTGGGAAGGGGGAGCTTAAAAACCTAAGGTCATGCTTAGAAACATAATGTATTAACAGTGAGTAGTGAGGGGTGATGAAGAGGCGGAAGTGTGTTGCCCTGGGATGTGGGACACTGAGTGTGTCACCTGCCCTGGGGAACACTGAAGCCCCTTCAGTCCTTTTCCCGGGATCGTGCAGTCCATTGCTGCTGCCTCCATGCACAGAAAGGGGAAGCTTCCTCCATTCTTGTCTCAACACTTAGTCGAGGTCAAAGAGCTCCGCTGACCTTGGGCTGGTAGGGCAGAAGGACCTAGCAGGCGTTGTTCAGTGACCTGCACAAAAGCCTGCAATCCGCAAGGCCCCTCTCCACCCCCTGCTGCTTTCTTGACTAGCTGGGCTGCCTTGGCTATGGCACCACCCTCTGCTGCAGCCCCACGCAGACTCGTAAGCCCACTGTTCTTCCCCTGCTTTGAGGGGTTGTCAGCCACAGCCTAATTGCTGTGCTCCATTCTGCCTTGGGTGCTCTGTGTCGACTGCTTTCCAGATTTCTCCTGAGGGTCAGCAAAGGCAGAGGCCAGTATTAACACTCAGCTGCCTTGTTACTAGGAGGCCTGGTAGCCATAGAAACTGCAGCTAAGGGGAGATTTGAAATGTAGATATCTTAAACAGCCACTAATCCCAGCCAGTTTTGCTTTGTCTGAGAGGACCAGGCCTTGGATGGGACTAAATGAAGCCTGCCTGCTTCCCCCAGCTTGCTCCTTGGAGCCAGTGCCTGGCTGTAAGCCCCGAGGGTCCAGCTTGTCTGTGGCTGCTGCTCACTCCCACCTGCCTACCGCTGAGCAAAGGTTTTCTGTGGGCTGCTAGCCCGGGCTTGGGGACTGATGCTGTCCACCTCCCAGGGTGGGGTGGGCGAGAAAACATCTGAGCCCCAGGAGGAAGAAACCCATCACTTTTTTCCTTTTTAAAAATGCTCTTATTACTACATATTAATTATTCATAGTAACATTGCATCATGGCATTTTCATATCTGCATATGATGTGTTTTGCTTGTATTCACCTCCCCATTACCCTCTCATGTCCTCCACCTCCTTCCTTTCCCCAATAGTCACCCTTGGTTTTTGTGGTGTTTTTTTTGTTTTGTTTTGTTTTGTTTTTTTGGTGGTGGTGTTGTTTTGAGACAGCATTTCTGTGTAGCTTTAGAGTCTGTCCTGGAACTAGCTCTTGTAGACCAGGTTGGTCTCAGACTTAGAGATCGCCTGCCTCTGCCTCCCGAGTGCTGGGATTAAAGGCATGCGCCACTACAGCCCAATCACCCTTGCTTTTTCATGGGGCTCCTCCTCCTCCAACCTCCATACAAGCCTGGGCATACACATGGCCCCACCCCAAAATAAATAAACTGTTGGGGGCTGGAGAGATGACTTAGCAACTAAGAGGACCTGAGTTCAATTCCCAGCACCCACATGGTGGCTCACAATTGCCATGATTGACTGGAAGGGGCACAAGGCAACATACCCACACATTAAAATAAATCTAGAAAACTTTTAAGTCAATTGGGATGAAACGTGCCAGTTCTAAGCTACTTATTTGTTTCTTTATGGGAGGGAGGCTTGGTTTCTTTGTTATAGTTAATTTTTAGTTTATGTGAATGGGTGTTTTGCCCATGTTATGTCTGTATACTGTGTGTATGCCTGGTGAGCATGGAGACAAAGTGTCAGTCAGGTCCCCTGGGAATGCAGTTGGGAGGCGGCAGAGCAATGGCCACTCTTACCACTGAGCCAGGTCTCCAGGCCTTCAGTAGAGGCAGTGGCCCACACCTGAGTTGCTTTAAGCCAGCAGAAGCAGCTGTTGGTCCTGGCTCATATTTTGACAGCAACAGCAGCAGTCAGCCTGGGTGTGTTTAGCCCCTCTTAAGTTCCTAGCCAGATTCTCTACCGTGGGCCCCGTATCTGCCAGGTGTTTCCCATGTGCCTAACACAAACAGTCCTTGCTACTGGGCCCTGGAGGTAACATGGTTGCTCCAGCGTGGCGTTTGACAAACTCTAGCCACAAGTTCTCTGGTTGGATTAGCTTGGCCTCAGCCCCTCTAGCCAACTCTTGTCCTCTTCTGTGTGTCGTCCTCTGTGGGCCAAGGCCATCTCTCTGAGTACATGCTCGCAGGGCAGAGCAGACAGCCGTTGCCCTGTGGCGCAGATGTTTAACAAACTGCCATCCTCACTTTAGGTCGCCTGGGTTGAAATCAGTTTTCTTCCTGGTGCACAATCTCCTAAGACTGCCACTTTTCTGTGCTCTCCCAGTGTTCCGACTGATGCCTTCCCAACCTTGGCCATCCATCCGACAGTCATCTGTCAGAGGAAGGTCCTGGCTGGCTCCCTTCTATACGCCTACCCACAATGCACTTCAGTCCTGGGGTGACCAGAAGAGTCGGAGCTCTTCCGGTGTGACAGCCACCACGTTAAATCAAAGCAGGGCTGTTGGAATGGCCTAGGTTTCCCAGCTAAAGTTGTTTCCCTTCTATCCTCAGGTGAAGGTGGGAGACACGCTGGATCTGCTCATTGGGGAGAACAAGGACACAGGCACAGAGGTCGTGATGCGGATTCTCCTGAAAACCGTCTATGACGAGAAGACGGAGAGTGACAAGCACCGTGTGGTGTTGCGACGGTGGAAGAGCTTAAAGCTGCCAAAGAAATCTAAATAATCGCGACTCTCCCCGAGGCTCTTCCTCGTCGTCAGGGGGAGGCCGGCGTGAAAAGGACGCTTTTTCTCAAATAAAGTTCTGTCGTGTGTGGAGTCACTGGAGCAGTTTGTGGAAGCTGGGATCCGAGGGTTTTTTTCTGTCCTGTGCCCCTTCAGGCCTGGCTTCTGAGAGTTCCCTTGTCCTGCACAAAGACCAGAGTCGGAGGAGCTCAGCCAGAGGATGTAATGGCCTGCCTGCTGTTTCCATATTAACTACCTCTGGTCATCGTAAAATAAACTGGTCTTGTTTCTTTGCAGGTTTGTTTTATTTTGTTAGACGGTCTCACTATGTAACCCTGACTGGCATCAAAGTCACCAAGATCCACCTGCCTCTGCCTCCTGAGTACTAGGATTAAAGGAGAGACACCATCACACCTGTGGCTTGTTTTATTTTTTTGAACAGTCTCCCATAGCCCAGACTGACTTGAATTCCTGATCCTCCTACTTCTAACTCCGAGGAGCAAGGATTATAGAAGAGGCATGTAACACCATGCCTGGCTTCTTAGTGTTTATTTAAATATTTACCATGTAGAGACGAAGTTTCTCAGATCCAGGCTTGTGAGTCAAGATCCTTCAGGTTGTGATAGGACAAGTTTGGTTGAACCTTTTGCCACTTACCTCATTAAACACTAGTCTCAGTTCTCCTGGGTTTGTCTTCTGCGATCCAGAGTAAAGTTGCCCCCCCGTTCCAACAGGTCTACTAGGAATCCACTTGGAATGGTTTAGGCCAGCTTCATAATGGCCCTCAAGCCAAGAATGGCTTTAACGTTAGTGCTTAAGAGCTTGCTCTTCGATGGGCGGTGGTGGCGCATGCCTTCAATCCTGAGTTCGAGGCCAGCCTGGTCTACAGAGCGAGTTCCAGGACAGCCTCCAAAACCACAAAGAAACCCTGCCTTTAAACAACGAGCTTGCCTCCGATTCAATTCTCAACACCCACATGGCATCTGTAATTCCAGTCCTAGGACATTTGATGTCCTCTTCTAGCCTTTGTGGGTACCAAGCATGAGTGTGATTCACAGTCATACATGCAGATAAAACATACATGTAAAACACAATTTTTTTATATTTATATGACCTACAAAGCCTAAAATGTTTACTGTCTGGCCCTTTACAGGAAAGTAACTCCTGGCTCAAAAAAAATCAGTTCAGTTTCAGACAGAAATAGGAAGTACACAGGTTTTATCAAAACAACAGACTAGTTGTAACCCTCTCAGCAACATGCCACAAAGGGCTAACTCTGCATAAAGAAGAGTAGAACTGAACACACTCCATGATGAGACACTCAGGTTGGCCTGGGACTTCCCAGAAGCCAAGTCTTAGCACTGGAAAGAGTGGTCCCAAGACTCACTGCCCATCCTCTTGTGAGACCACTCATACTGGGCTCTTGTTTATCCCCAAGACTCCCTGAGATCTCAATAGTGAAGAGTGAAGGGAGCTTCCAGAGAGCCCAAAACACGTTGGGGACCATGAGTCTCAAGTTATTCACTTTGTTCAGTCTGATCTATAGAGTGAGTTCAAAGCCAGCCTGGGCAACCTAAAAAAAATACCTGTCTCAAAAAATTTGTTTTAAGTTAAATGTTTCAAAAACTTAACTCTTAGGAAGAAATAATAAATACAGTGTAAATGTACAACATGGAATCTCTGTTTTCATCACTTGTTATTTTGGCTTTTCTGAGTCATCAGTGAAGATATAGTATGCTTAATTTCCATGTGAGGTAGTGACAAAGTTATAATTCATGAAATAGCCATACCTCCTTTCCTCCTCTTTCCCTCCCTCGTCCTCAGCTTCTCTTTGCAAAAATCAGTAGAAAACTCAAGAAGCCTTGGATGGTGAAGGCACGTAGTCCATCAGGTTTTCTAAAAACAGCCCACCATGACCCAAACTTGACCATCTCTCTCTGCATCTCACAGCCCTTCCTGGAAGGAAGCAGAGCAACAGATGCCTGCAGCTCATTTTAAGGCTTCAGCACATAACTGAGCTTCAAGGCAAGCTCATCCAGCTAGGATTCCAGGTGTGCACCGTTGTGCTGGCCAGAGACAGTCATTTGAAAGCCGTTAGTAATCTGTACCTGGATTAACTGCATAGCAACTACAGTTTTTAGAAATCAAACTATGGGCCAGGTGTAATGACAAGCGCCTTTAATCCTAGCACTCGGGAGACAGAGGCAGGCGGATGGACTTTTGTGAATTCGAGACCAGCCAGAAGTACATAATGTCCTGTCACAGGAGGGGGAAAAAAGCAAATAGAATAATCAAACTGAGGGCCAGAGAGACAGCTCAGTAGTGAAGAGCCTGTCTACACTGGTGGAGGACCCAAGTTTAGTTCCCAGCACCCACACCAGGTGGCCCAAATGGCCTGTAACTACAGCTCCAGGAGATACAATGTCTCTGAGGGCACCCAAACACCCCATACACACAAAGACACACAACTAAAATAACGCTTAAGATGTGTTAAAAATCAAACTAAGACATCTGATCACAAACGTTAGTTTGGTCATAGCATGTGGCAAAAGATTGATCTCTCAAGAGTTGCCTTCAATGTGAGGGACTTGGAATATGAAAACAAGCAGAAACTTAAAGAGCAGTTCATGGTGAGTCATTACTGAAGCTACCAACAGCTGCCTTTTAGAGTGGCCACAGCAGGGCATCCCCAGTAAAAATGTCACCAACATAACCCCTTGATCAAAGACAACCCCTGGACACACTCCAGTGCAGTGGTTCTCAGCTTGGAGCGACTTGTCCACTTTGCCTGGGGTCATTTGGCAATAATTGTAATTTCAGTTGTCATGATGGACAGGAAGCTATGGACACCAAGAAAGGAGAGCCTGAAGATGATGCTGAACATCCCTTAATGTCTAAGCAAAGGTGGCCCACAGAACAGCATGTCAGCAGTGCTGAGGTTGGAAATCTTGTTCTAATAGGACGACAAAGTGGTAAAATTATGTTAAATACATTGTTTGGCTGGAAACGTTGGTGCATGCCTGTAATTCCAGCTTGATTGGTAGAAACAGGAGGATCAAATAAGGGGGGCCATCATCTGTGACATGAAAAGAACCAACCAACCAACCAATAGAAACCCTAAATAGTTAACTACATCCTGCTTTCTCAGGACAGTGTTGCATGTACAGTTGCTGTATTTGAGGCATGAGTAGTTTATTGTTATGACTGTTTGGTTCATTTGGCCTTTTACCAAAATGACAATCCTCTAGCAAGTTAGGTTGTCAACTGAAATCCTGCCATCTATGCTCTACATAGATGGGAGACCCGCCCACTTCTGACCCCCAATGCTGGGTTTAAAGGCATGCTTCACCATGCTTGGAAGCCTATTTGTCAAGAAACTAAGAAACATTTCGGTGCTTGGAGGTGGTGCACACCTTTAGTCCCAGCACTCAAAGGCGGAGGCAGGCCAGCCTGATCTACAGAGCGAGTTCCCGGAGACAAGACTGTTACAGAGAGAAACCCTGTCTCAAACAAAAACAAACAAAATCAGTTGAGTGGATGTTCATGAACCTATCTCAAGGGAAAAGGAGGATCTCTGTCTTACCTTGGTTCTGTGAAGGTTGGCTTCACTGTCGGAGAATTCCCAGTCCACAACTGTTTGATGGTCTCCAGAGATCAGTGACAGGTACTACATTCCCAGAAGTGTAGGGCAAGCATAGCTCCTGAACTGCTCTCCAGTCACAGCTAGCTTGATTGCTCAGAATCAGCCACAGAGTAGCTTTTGGAAATCGCCAACACTGCAGATTGGGTTTTTAGTTCCCCCAGGGCAGTAGCTGTTAAACATTGATGGACACCCAGGAGAGGTTTTCCCTAGGAAGCACCTTGGCAACGCTGTCCCTCCGCGTGCTTCAGAGGTCCTCCCACTTTTGATAGCATTTTCCCGTCTTCCTCTCCTACCTGGGCAACCACTGCACGTGTTTAATGGGCATCATTTTGCTTGTATGCATTTCGGTGAAATGCATTTCACTGCTTTGCTTACAGAACTTCATAAATGGTTTATTATATATCTCATTTCATACTTTCTTTCCCGTGTGTCTTAAAACTCCATCCAACCTATTTATTCACACCACTGCCAAGGGGCATCCATCCCATTTCACCAGCTTCCTTTCAGAGGGACACTGTCCCAGATTGTACCGCTTCCCTTCATTAACACACTGCTTGCTCTGCTGGTTAGAACAGCTGTTGGATGCCTTCCCCTTGAGCACCACACCGAGGTGACTGCGGCCCATTGCCTCACTTGGTCCCTGGCACTAGCCAGCTTTTTCTTTTTTACTTTTTTCTTTTTTTTTTTTTTTTTTGCCAGTAGAATCTCTCCAGCTCCCTGCAACCCTTACTCAACTTTTTTACTTTCTAACTCATGGTCCTCTGCTGCAGCGTGATTACAGGCATGCACCAACACGCTCAGATTCCCCCCCCAGACAAGGTTTCTCTGTGTAGCTTTGTAGCCCAGGCTGGCCTCGCAGAGATCCACTTACCTCTGCCTCCTGAGTGCTGAGATTATGCCCCAAGATGGACAGGTGAGGCTCAAAGACTTCATCGGGGCAAACAACACGTATCTAAATGAACACTTGCTCTTTAGGGTTCCCACAGGGAATACTTGTTTCTGTAATCAAAGTCACTATTAAACAATACAGATTCTATCAATCTTTTTTGGTGGGGAGGGGGGCTGGGTGGGGTAGTGCACACTTTTAATCCCATTTCCTGTGAAGCAGAGGTAAGTGGATCTCTGTGACTTGAAGGCCAGCCTGACCTTCATAGCAAGTTCCAGTCTAGTCAGGGCTATATAAAATGCAAGTCCTTTAAAAAAAAAATGCTGCTGGGCGGTATTGGCCCACAGCTTTAGTCCCAGCACTCCGGAGACAGAGGAAGGCAGATCTCCAAGTTCAAGGCCACCAGGGATACACAGAAAAACCCTGTCTTGAAAAAAAAAAAAAAACAAAAAACAAACAAACAAAAAAGCCTTGGGATCCTAGCTCTTGAGTCTGAAGCAGAGAAACCAAAGGCTAAAATTTAGAGGCCAACTTTGCACAATCAGTGTTAACTACCTGAAGAGAGCAGTGATGGCCAAAGGCCTTAGGCATACTGAAGTGAGTATTTCTCCACACACGATTTCCGTTTGTCAAAACCGAGGATGGACACGCCTCATGTCTTGCTACAGAACCAGCACAAGCTGAACCCCCTCAGCTCTCACAGCACACTAACCATCATTTCAGTCTGTGACAACCACGAAGGGCGGGAGATCTCGCAGTGGTGCCTCGGGCTAGGGAGCACTTCATTGCACCTGCAATGGCCTGTCTGTCTTCTGCAGAGAGCAGCAAGGCCGCATCTGCTCATACCCACGCACCTCTTGCAAATCAGCTTCAGGTAAGACCTGTCAGGTTCTGGCAGCTAACTACCAGGACCTTTCTGCCAGGCCTAATGGGCTGGGTAACCAGCCACTCATGGGGGCAGGGCTGGTCAGTTATGGAGCAGGCCCAGTAGCTGGCTGGCCCATTTGCGGAATGGATGCGCCTCCTCTAGAGGCAGCAAACCCTTAAAGCCTTCCTTTCTTTTGTGGCCTTGAACTATGAGCAGTGCTCCAAGCTTTGCTTCAAGAGCCGTACCTACCTCCTTCCTCAGTGTGCGGAATCTCCCTGCCTCCACTTTCCCAGCCTTTCCCTGACTCTAAAACCCACTTCCTCTGCGCAACTCCTCACAACATTTATCCTACTCTATGGAACAAAATTCCCATATCTAGAAATAAAATTTAAAGCAGTGAAGATTTTTACATTGAGCCAGACAGGCACGGTGGCACAGGCGTGTAACCCTGGGTGAGGTCAGTGAAGCAATACCTAAGACCCCGTACTCGAGAAAAGCAGCAGGGTGCAGAGGTGCACATCTGAATCCCAGGACTCCGGCAGGAGAGTCTCTGAGTTTGAGCCAGCCTGGTCCAGTGCCTTCCAGGACAGCTGATCACCGCCTCAAAAAAAGACAAAAAACCCTAAAAAGAAAGTCATCATGAGAGAGAAGTGTATGCAAATATGGAAACCTATCTCTTCCCACCTACCAAGATAAGCTTTCTAAACTGAGGCTGCTACTAGCAGTTTATTTTATTTTTTGGTTTTTCGAGGCAGGGTTTCTTTGTGGCTTTGGAGGCTGTCCTGGAACGTACTCTGTAGACCATGCTGGTCTCGAACTCACAGAGATCCGCCTACCTCACAAAGCAGTTTAATATGCATGCAGTAGGAGACCACTTAATTCAACTTTTTCCCCAGGCATGACAGAGCAGTATTTTTTTTTTTTAATGTGTATGAGTGTTTTGCCTGCATGTATGTCTGTGGTCCATATATGTCCCTGGTAGCCAGGGTGGCCAGAAAAGGATGCTGAATCCCCTGGAACTGGAATTACAGATGGTTGTGAACTGCCATGTAGCTGTCAGGGATTGAGCCTGGGTCCTCTGGAAGAGAAAGCATGCATCTTTTTGTTATCAGGTTAGCTTGGAACTACAACCTGCATGATACAGAGGAAGAACTGGGTCCAAGGGGAGCGGAGCTCTGCTGGGGCAGACAGGGAGGTGAAACAGCTCAGATCCGTGTCATCCGCTCTCTGTGTACACCTGGGACTGGGCAGTTCTGACACTCACTCACTGTCCCAAACACTCAGGCACTGAAATCCACAAACACCTGGTCTCCCTTGGGACCAGGAAGGTGCACAGACAAACCCATACACAGTCTAAGTGACGAGGGCCCTAAAGAAATAAGTGTTAAGAGACCACAGTTTTTCTATTTTTATATTTTATATAATTAATAAAACAGTGCTTGTATAAAAATTCACACAAAGTTGCTAAAGAGCATACAATTTCCAAAATGTCCTGGGTTTTGTTACATTCAGTTTTCTAAGGGCGCACTCAAATCAATGGTAACAGGCAGACATGATGTGGTATCTCATTCTCTTTGGTAAAACTGTCCTCATTGTTTACTCCTCACAGTAGGAACGTTGATACCCACTTTGTGCAGGGTCTGCTCATGCTGGGATGTCAGACGTTAAGGCTGGATCTACAAGAGGCAAGGACTTCCCACAAAAGTACCAGCCCTGGGCCCTCACCCATACTTCAGAATGACCCAGTGACTCCAGCTAGGAGTCTCCAGGCCCCTCCTGGTCAGGCAAGATGCAATCTCTGGGGGAACGGTAGAAAGTGAGGCTATCTCTACAAGAACCCAAGTGGCAACACTGTGGTATGATCAGGCCAAATCCAGTCACCACTAAGTAGATCCCATTGGTCGGTTGATGATTGCTGCGGATATGAGCCCCTCACCCCTTAAAAGGAAAGGAAGGTTTGGGGCTCAACACTGAAGGGGGGGGGGTCACTGAGTGCTAATGACACTAGACACTTTATTCCCTGACAAACGTTTGTCATCATACAGACATGGCCACATGAACTAAAAGCAGGATTCGAACACTATACATTCATGACTATCTTCATACACTCTTTAACAACTTCCTAACAGAGAAAAACAAGACCTCTACCACCCACTGTGACATACTTACTACCTTACTCAATGTCAGAATGTCTGTGCTAATCTTTAGTCCACTGTGTACAAGGCAAAAATAATCCAAACACGAAGGAAGAATTTAGATGGGGAACAAGGAAAGCAGTCGGCAACAGATTTCATGAAACCCATTTAATTCTGAAAAAATAAGTATTCTATATTTATATTGCTTCATGAAAAGAAATGCCCCCTGGAGCCACCTGCACGGCTGGGTGAGGAACCATACAGTCCAGGGACAGGAAACAGCTCCCAGAGTGTCCGCCTCTTTCCACCAAGGGGCAGTGAGACTGGGGTGGGGGTGGGGTAGGGATGAAGCCCTACATGGTTAAAGTGTTAAGGAAACCGAAATACAGTTTCCCAGAAGTTAACACGCTCTGGCTTACAAAAAGTTCTGCTTCATTCGTAGAACCTGCCGTTTCTCTGATGTGAGCGGACTTCTAGTAACCGGCTGTGCTTGTGACATTGCAGGGCCACTCCGCTCTCTAAAAAGCAGGACAGTTCTCACATGGCTTGAAATCCTCTTGGTTACATCCTCAAGACCAGAAAAAAAAAAATCCCATGGAATTCTCTCAAACTAGTGGAAGCAGTAAGAGAGCACCATGGCCATCTTTGGGGTTGTGTATGTGTGTGTGTGTATGTATGTGTATGTGTGTGTGTGCACGCGAGCACACACGTGCTCATGCATGTTTGTCTAAGGCATTCGGAGAGAGGCCCCAGCTAAGGGAAAGGGGGAGTCTTCTGGCTGCCCCCATTACCTTCTTTCTGGGCACAAAGAAGGTTGCTTTGTGGAGCCCCCCCATCTCGCTTTTTAATAAGGAGATGTTTGCAGGTATGGGTGACAGGCACGTGACAGAGCCATGAAGTTCCTGTGCACCTCTCAGAATCAATAATTTAGGTTTACAGTTACAGCATAAATAATCTGTAAAGACAGTGAATAGAAGCTTTACAGTATTCAAAATTATGTTATTTTTTAAATGCCCACTGGGTACATGCAAAATTATATCATACTGTCTACTAGAACTAAGTTCTTATCTGTATGAGAGAATTCATAGATTATTTCTATAATTTCTGCATATTAAGGTAGCATAATAGTAAGCCATTAAGTTATCACATTTGTAATGTCCCACAAGGGTTTTATGACTACCCTAGGCAACTCAATCAATTTTCTAGGCCAATGATAAGATGGGTTCAGATTGGGAAACCCTGCTTCCTTTCCTTCCTAGGCATCTGGCCCCAGTGGAGAAGGGTAGATGGAAGAGATGTGACCTCCACATTAGGGGTGGGCCAGGAGAGGACGGCAGAACTTCCTGGAAGGTTTGAGGGGAAGGTCTGAGTGGGGCGGGGTGGGGCATGGGTGCTCCATTTAAGATGGTCTGGGTCTTCCCGACACCTACAAAAGAGCCCTGGGCTCTTAGAGGTAAAGGCCTTGCAGCTCATGGGAGGAGCTAACACTGCAGATGGGGATAGGGACTCTGGACAAATACATGGAAAGTAAACAGTTCTTGGTGAACCCCAAAGCAGCCCACCCATGAGTCACACAAAAATGTCCCTACACATTGCGTTCCAATGTGTATGTCCCTCCCATCCAACGTCTATGTGGAGAGGGAACGGGGCTCAGGTGAAGACGTGTGAACTATGCTCCACATCTATCTACATTCATACTTCTTCCAGTGTTCGCGTCTACACAGTGAGCACCACAGGGCAGCGGCACACAGGCTGAGCCACAGGCAACCTTTCTGAGGCCACAGCAGAAGGGAAACTCAAAGAGCTACTAACTACTTACATTACTTATATTCCATCCCATCTGCTGCATCCAAGGGCCTCGGGACTCTTCCAATATCAGATGCCAAACACAGGATTAGTAAAACTAGTCACCGTGTCACCTGAAGCCAGTTACCCATAATGCCTGAATATGACATCTTTTAAAAATGCATAAATCTAAAATCATCTTTAAAAACCCCAGCAAGTGAAGTAATCTTACAGTATCTCATCTCAAATATCTTTTTCCTAAATAAAATGGCTCCCAAAGAGCCCAATGATTTTCTTTAAAAGGATTTCATTTCAATTAAAATAAACAAACATAAAAAGATTAAAAAGGAAGATGTAAAACATGGGGAGAGAAACAAGCTGCTGAATTTATATTATATCATGTAGCCCTGGCTGGCCTGGAATTCATTATGTAGACTAGACTGGCCTTGAACTCACTGAGGTACAATGGCCTCTGCCTAGAGAAGTCAGCTACCACATCTAGTCTAAATTTGTGTTTTGAATCGTGAGCGCTAGGGAGGGCTCCCCAGCCCTGAAAAGGGACCCTACCCTATCAATTCTGATTTCACAGCTTGGCTACTCCCAAACTCTGGCTGTGCCACCAGGGAACACAGAACAAAGTCATGAATACTAGAGACCAAATCGAAGGCTTCTTTCTTGTGGCTGGGTACGTGTTTACGTGTGCAAATGTAGGAAACCACTCCCCACTGGCATAAGGTGCCTGTCTGTGGGTACCATACCTGAGCTCCGGAGGATGCTCAGTCCCAAGGGCACCCATTGCTCAGCCTGTGGTGACCCAAGTCACTGGGCAGTCCCAGCCCCTGTCACTTCTCCACCTTCTTGGCTTTCTTGAGGATGTCGCACTTTTTCCTATTGGGACGGCGACACCGCTCATCAATGCTGGGTATACATTCATAATGCCACACCTCTTCCATCTTCTCCACGGGGTAGACAGCTTCCACGTAATGGCGGATAAGCCTCAGCCGCGTGGGGTCCAGCTGCTTCTTGTTACAAGCCCCGGAGTGGTTGTACTGCAGTCGAAGGTTCTCAGCCGTGAAGAGCTCAGGGAAGAGCCTAACCAGGAGCCGGGCTGCAAAGTTGCCCACTGACAGGCTCTGCTGCACAATTTCACGAACTTCCTTGTCTGACAGCAGGTAAGGGGAAGGCACCGGAAAGTCGGGCGAGGGGACCACCAGCTCGTCCAAGGGGATTTTGCAGAAGTCTTTGCTGCTCCTTTCAGGAGGCAGCGGGGGCCCCTCAAACTCCTCTCGGAACCTCTCGGGGTTGATTGCATAACTCGCTAGGTCCCGGCACTCGGGGCCAGGCACGTGGACCTTGCGCTGCTGCTGGTAGGAGCGCCGCTGCTCCGTGTCCCTGCGTCGGCAGCGCTCGTCCAGCTTGCCCACGAACTCCAGAGTCCACACGCGGTCGTTCTTGGCTCTGGGGTAGAGCAGCTGCACATAGTGGCGGATCAGCCGGATGCGGGCAGGGTCCAGCTGCTTCTTGCCCAGGGAGCCGCTGCAGTTATACTGCTTGCGCAGGTTCTCGTGGGTGAAGAGCTCCGGGAACAGGTGCACCAGCAGGCGGGAGGCAAAGTTGCCAATGGACAGGCTGCTCTCATAGATGCTGCGCAGCTGCTCCTTGCTCAGCAGGCAGTCCGAACCTGGCATCTCGAAGTCAGGCTGTGGTATCTCCAGCTTGTCAAAATCAATAGGCACCAGCCAGATCTTCTTGGAGCGCCGGCCAGGCCGCTCGCCCTCGAAGCTGTCCTCTACCTTGACCACTGAGATGTCATCTGGCAAGCTGGAGGAGTCGTAGCAGTCGTCCCGCGGGGCCTCGCCCTCGCTGGCCCCCTCAAGCCCCAGCCCCTCCAGCTCATCGTTGATGCGCTGCGCACACTGCTGCAGCCAGGCCTCATCCTCCTGCATGTCGGGAAAGTAGATCTCCGTGTAGTTGCGGATGATCTGCAGCCTCTGGGGATCCAGCTCTTGCTTACCACCGTCGCCATAGCAGCTGTACTGCTCACCCAGCTTCCGGTGGTCAAACAGCTCCGGAAAGAGCCGGTGCAGGAGGAACACGGCAAACTCGCCTGGGGAGGAGGCTTCATCCAGGAACTCGGTGAGGTCCTGTGTGTCCACCACATGGTCCGAGGCAATGGTGCTGCTGCGGTCCAGAGACAGAGCTTCTTCTTGGTCCTTGCTATCCAGGAAGTGGCCGGCATCCACTTGGTCAGCTTCAAAGAAGTTGGTGACCTGGCCGCCTGGCTGGCTGTCTTCCATTTCCCGCTGGGCCCAGAAGCGGCTGAAGAAGTCATTCAGCTGTGGCAAGCACTCAGCCTGCCACACAGCTGTGTCCTTCACAGAGGGGTAGTACACCTCCACATAGTTGCGGATGAGCTGCAGGTGCAGCGACTCTAACTTCCGCTTGGCGGCAAAGCCGCAGGCACTGCAGCCATGGGAGAAATCCACGCCGCTGAAGAGCTCCGGGAACAGCTGCACAAGCAGGCGACAGGCTAGGTCGCTGCAGGACAGGCTCTGCTCCACAATCTGCTTCAGCTCTGCAGAAGTGAGCAGGTACTCAGGGGGAGGCTGGAACTTAGCCACCAGCTCCGAAGGGCTCACCTGCTTCTTGATGCGGCTCACCTCGAGGGAGAGCAGGTCCACCTTGCTGTGAAGCTGGGACATGTTAGATGTGAGCGTGTTGAGCATGTAGAGCATCCTCTGGATCAGGAAGCAGATATTGGGCTCCCCGTCAGTGGCCGCCCCAGCACCACACTCCCGTTTCTGAGACTCATTCAGCAGGCGCAGAGGAGCGGGGCTGGTGCTGGGGTTTCCCTTCTCGAAGAGCTCACAGGGGCTGAGCAGGTCTCCAGAGGGAGGGTTCTTCTTCTCCATGATCTTGTGGGAGATGCCATACAGAGGCTTCTTGTAGGAAGGGGTGGTGGCCCCACTGGAAGGCTCTTCTTCAGCAGACCACACACAGCTCCCACTCCTGCTCCTGTTGGCTGGCTCTCCGTTTCCCTGGCAGGGTGAGCTGTTCTCACGGTTGCGCATGCCTGCTAGGAGGGCCTAAAAACAAACCATCCTGCAGTTAGGTGTGTTCCCATACGCACTGCACTAAACTGGGCTGGGACAGCACAAAGGACCCATGGTCAATGCATTCTTGTCCAAACCACTCTGCCCATGCAGGAACGGACCATAAGAATACAGTAACATCTGAGGGTCAACCTGTTCCAAATTCCCACTCCTTGAGAAAGGGCTCAGGCTAGACCCAGGAAGGATCCTATTCTTAAAGAATAATTGTTCCAGGCTTCTGTCCATAGGGCTAACAGAGACCAAGCTGGTAAGGCTGGACAAAATTCTAAGAACAGGTGAGAGACCATATGAACATGAAGAAATGCCATGGTTGCCCAACCACAGAAGGCCTTCCCCACAGCCCACCCCACCCCACCTACATCTCACTGCTCTCGGATAGGAATAGTGGCTGTGGCTGTGGCGGCTTCAGCATGTAGCATTTAGGAGCAGGTTTCCCTGAGGCACACAGTAGCAGGAACGCAGCAGCAGGCTGACACTCTGTAGCTGCCAGGACATTAGACAAGGGCTGGCCCAGAACCTCGATCGTTCACGAAGTTGAGATTCTGTGGGTGACTCTGGCTCTGGGACATCAAGTGTTGCCACTAGGATAGCATGTCTCCACAGCCAGCAGCCACCCAGTGCCATGGACAAACACCCCTCCTGAGCATCTACAAGAGTGCTGGCTTTGGACTGTACTATCCGCCTCCTGTGACCAGTTTTGGGACAGAATAAGCACTATGGAGAAGGGCCTCAGGGATGTCTCCTCTCTTCAGCCCAGAGGCGCATGTCCACCATTCTCTTACCACACCCAGCACAAGCTCACTCACTATTCTGGACCTCACTGTTTGCCTTCGAGGTTGCTACCTGTTTCAAACTGGGTATCTTAAGAGAATTCTCTATACTCAAAACGACAGGTGATTTGTGAGAAAGACACAAGGACAATTTGGGGGCAAAAGGAGAATTTTCCATCAAATAATTCTACACAACTGCACATTCATATGTAATAAGGCTTAAATAATAATTCTAACCCAAACCTCAAGCTCAATGCAAATCAACTGAAAACCAATCAGGAGTCAGGCAGGCATGGTGGCTCTTAACTAATCCTAGATCCAGGAGGCAGAGACATAAGGATGCTATGAGTTCTAGGCCAGCCTGAGTTCCAGGACAGCAGGACAGTCAGGGCTACACAGAGAAACCCTGTCTCAAAAAACCAAAAAAATGGGAAGGAGGGAGGGAGGGAAGGAAGGAAGGAAGGAAGGAAGGAAGGAAGGAAGGAAGGAAGGAAGGAAGGAAGGAAGGAAGGAAACGAACGAACAAGATAAAGTATAGACCTACACCTGAACTTGGATGTTAGCTGGATGTAGTAATGCTATCTATAACTCTTGGGTAAGGCTGTCAAAGAAACAAACCGAGGTGTCTGGGAACTTAGCGTAGTGGTAAAGTGCTTGCTAATATGCAGAAAACACAGGGTTTGACCCCAGCACTGCCCCCCAAACAAACAACCAAACCAAAAGAATAGATTCATTTTAAAGGTGGCCACAGTGGTACATGTTACAAGTCCCTGCACTTGGGAGGTAGCAGTAGGATCTGAAGTTCAAGGCCATCCTAGGCTATATGACAACATATTTAAAAAAGAAAGAAAAAAGAGCTGTTAGACCTCAAAATAGCTGTTCAATGAAAGAAGACATATTGTAATAATTAAAAAGCCAGATTATTTAGTGTCTCCTATGTAAAAAGTCCAGAAAATACATCTATTATAGTTCCAGAAAGCAAATCAGTGGTTGCCTGGGGGTAGGGGCGATAGGTGGACAAACCCACACACATGAGTGATTAGAGCACGGCAGGTGTTTTACCACTGTCTAATCTCTGCCTAAGAAGAGGACCCTGGGAGCTGGGGTGGAGCACTATAGTAGGGCGCTTGCCAAAGAGAGTCAAGACCTTCTGTTGGTTCCAGTAAGGGGGGGGAGGCAGGCAAGAAAAACAAAAACCCACTGGCTTTATGAAGCCATGAGGCTGGGGTGTGCAGGCAGGCGCTCAGTCACGCACCGGGGCCTCCCCATGTGACCTTTCATGCCCCAGCTTCTATGTCTTGCAGCAAGAGACACAATGAGATAATACACACCAAGCACAGAGCCAAATAATAGTAAGTACTTAACAAATACTACAGCAGGGTTATACTTAGCAAGACCTTCTTTGTTGTGTTTTTGAGTCAGGGTTTCTCTTTAAGGCTTGGCTGTCCTGGAACTCACTCTGTAGACCAAGCTGGCCTGAAACTCACAGAGATTCACCTGCCTCTGCCTCAGGAATGCTGGGATTAAAGGTGTGCGATGTTTCCTTCATGACGAGCAGTTCCACTGGCAGATGTGAAATAGGGTTCTGTGCAGCGAGGTCAAGAGGTGCGAGAGAAAACCTTGGGAGACTGTCTCAATACCAACCTTGAACTTAACCTCTGCATTCCCCCACATTCCTACACAGGAAAGACATGGGAGAAACCTGGCTCCCATTATTCTCACCCCAGTCTTAGTCTTATTAACGCAAATATTGCCATTCCTACCAAGCACTGATAGAAACTCCTTACCAATGGAAACTTTTTACTAAATTGTCTCATTAAAAAAAACAAACAAAAACAAACGAGGAGTCCCAGTAGAGGGCAATGCTCTTTGCTCACAGAAACCCAGGATACAGAATTCATCTAAAAGCAAGCAGCAAAGGGAAGGTTCTCAGATATCCCTACACCAGTGTCCTGTCAACTCAGTGCTCGATGCATCCCACAAGGCTGCCAAGGCAACGATGCGCTGGCTGGCTGCATTTGCTGCTGCTGATAAAATCTCTGCTCAGCTGTCTAGGAAATCTTTAAATCTGTGCTACTTGGCACAGGGTGTCTGACTGACAGTTACCAATTCTCCAAGGTGCATCTTCCAACCATATGGGAACTCTGTGGCACAGCTCTGGCTCGCATGCTAGCATCTAGCCTAGACCTTGATGGGCATTCACTCACAAGCACCTGCAGACTCACCAGGGAATGCCTGAAGCTCTCAGCTAGAGAATAGGACCAAATGAGAGGCTGACACCACCAGGCAAGCAAGGGGCAGCAGATATCCTGGGGAGATACCAAGGGTATGTAAGGCCACCAGTGCTCTAAGTGTATTGGTCATCACTATCAGACCCCAGATCCTCCAGCAGTTACTGAATTCAGTTCAGTGAATAATGAATGAGTGACTAAACAGTGTCCAGAGAGTCAGCAAAGTGGAAAGCCAAGAGAGCAGCACGAGTGGGAAATCAATGTGACATCAAGTGTAGGCCGTGTGACGTGGTACGAGGCTAGCACTACTATTCTGGAATCATGGCAGTGACGGCTATACTTCCCATGCATTTTCAATAGAGTTCTCTCCAACAAGTGCAAAGACCCACTTAATGATAGATCTCTCGGGTTCACTCTACCTACTGCTGATAGAAGAATGCCTCCAACTGCCTGGGAACCAAGCAAGACCCTAGGCACACTGGGAAAGGGTCACATTCAGTGCTTTCCCTTTGGGCCACCCTGATGCTGCCACAGAACCCAGGAAAGTCTGCACCTCACCTGCATCCCTACAGCCCTCATCCCGTCAGCTCCAGGTTAACTGCACAGTTCTTGACAGAGCAGGCTTGGTAGCGCCAAGTTCTGTTCTTAGTGGGGAAAACATCAATACCCATCTATCTCAGTTTCTGTGAGACATCTTAGGAATCCCCAGCTTGTTCAACAGTCAACACCTAGAGGATACCGAGTGAAACATGAATGAGATAGCATTTCTGTTGTCCAACTGAAAACCAACCACAGTAAAACATCTTTAATTTCTTTTGTTTTTCGAGATGGTTTCTCTGTGTAGCTCTGGCTGTCCTGGAACTCGCTCTCTAAACCAAGCTGGCTTCAAACTAAGAAATCCACCCGTGTCTGCTCTGAATGCTGGGATTACAGGGTGTGCCGCCACTGCCTGGCAACAGAACACTCACACAGACAAAAAGCCTGGGAGAACAGAGCTAACCTCTGCCTGGGAGAACAGAGCTAACCTCTGCCTGGGAGAACAGAGCTAACCTCTGCCCGGCACAGGTTGCTCACTATCACCTCCCTCCACTTGTGTGAACAAAACGATGATCACCCAGCTGAGACTCGGCGCAGGATTGCCACCAGGTCTGACCACCCAAGGTCAGTCCCTAGGGCCCACATGGGGGAAGGAAAGAACCAACTCCTATAACTGTCCTTTGATCCACACATGGCTTGCACATGCGTGTGCGCACACACACTCACACAGAATAGATAGATAGACAGACAGACAGACAGACAGACAGACAGACAGACAGACAGACAGACAGATGAAATAAAGGGTGAGACTACCAATAGAAATTCTGGTTGTGTGTACCATGTCCGCTCCAGGGAGAGGCAGCCAGTCTACCTATAGTCCTTGTCAGACTTTCCCAAGAATGCTGTTTTCTTCTAAGTCCCACATCAACAGTCCAGCATAAAACAAGGAGTCAGGGAGCTGGAGAGATGGCTCAGTGGTTAAGAGCAATGGCTGCTCTTCCAGAGGACTCAGGTACAATTCCCAGCACCCACATGGCAGCTCACAACTCCATAACTCCAATTCCAGGGGATCTGACACCCTCTTCTGACCTCCATGGGTATCCAGGTATGCAATGATGAACACACATACACTCAGGCTCAGCATTAAAATATATATGTAGTGGTACACACCTTTAATCCCAAAACTCAGAGCAGAGACAGGTGGATCTCTGTAAGTTCAAGGCCAGTCTGGTCTACAGAGCAAGTTCTAAGACAGCCAGAGCTGGGGGTGTGTGTTATATTAAAGGATTCTTTTTATATACTTTTTATCTTATGTGTATGAGCATTTTGCCTGTATGCATGTATGTGCACTGTGTGCACACCTGGTTTTCCTCTAAGGCCATAAGAGGGCGTGGATCCCTTAGAACTGGAGTTACAGACAGCTGTGAACCAAAAC